ATGGAAACAAAGTGTTTGTAAATGGGGAGGGGAGGAGGGGGTGAAGGGAGGACAGGGACAAGGGGAAAAAATGAGAATCAAGACCTATTATGTAAAGGTACAGAATCCCAATGATGAATGTAACTGTATTGTATACCTAGAATGTACCAATAAACTCAATAAAAAAATACAAAAAAAAAAGGAAAAAAAGACAGATCAGAAGGAAAACAGCAGCACAAAATAACTGAAAGGTAAGCAGAAAACACAAAAGATGGCAGAAACAAGTGGATGAGTAATGGTAAAGAATGTGAACAGCCTAAATTTATACTCAGTTTACAAGAAACATACTACAAACAGAGAAATGACTTAGTCTGTAATTTTTTTTCTTAAGCTGATGGCAGGCACACAAACGTGATTATTCTCTAGATTCAGTATCATTTAAAAATCTAATACTACTTTATGAAGTACAGATTATACTTTACAATTTGGAGAAATAAAAGATGATCCTTACAATTTCACACAGCCTCATCTTTCGAACCAGAGAAGCCATTACCACCATGCTCTCTGTACCCTCATCATCATCACTATGCTTTGATGTATTCTGAGGTGAGAACGATTAGCATTCATGACACATTAACCATATGCCAAGCACTGAACTAAATGTTTTAAGTTTATAATTCATCCACGTTAATCCTCAGAAAAACTCTTAACAAGGCACATTGTGTCAATGAAGAAAGTTTAGGTAATCTGCTCCAAATTAACAGTAAGCAGAGGTCTGTTTGACAACAAAACTCACAGTCTTCAATCACAATCCTGGGCAGAACGGTGAGCGCTAGAACAGACCAACGAAGGGCTCCCCATGTTAAGCCCTCACCCATTTCCAATAGCCCTGGAGGATGCAATGAATTTAGTCACCAACCTGCTATGCCAAACAGTGATCTGAGGCTACTTCTCTGTGTGTTTTTCTGTGTATTTATTTCTCCTAGGTACTTTCTTATTCAACATTTTGACATTTTAAAATGGCCTATTATCTCCATGTTATTTGTGCAGCACCTTGGAGAAAAAGATACTGCATAAATGGAATAAAAATACTGTAATTATGCTATTTTTTATGTCACGTCATCTCATTAGCTCTCCTGTATCAATGATCACTGTTCTTCCCATAAACATTTCTCTACCATTTAACTGGAAATGTTATAAAGCCGTAAAGCACCGCAGCAGAGTCACCGTTACATCATCTAGTCCAATTCCCAATGCCGGCCCAAACGGGGGGGTCTGGCTCACCCAGCATAGTACCTTACCTAGATAAATGGCAGCAGTGTCTGAAGGCACTGCTGGCCCCACTCATACAATCTCTAGCGCATGCTTGCCACATTCTTAGCACCGGTGCCCAGGTACTTTTCTTCAAGTTTTATGAAACAGCAGAAGGTAAGAAGGACTTGCCTTCTTTTAATCCGTGCTCTCAATATGCCTTTTTATTTTTTACAAAACATCACAAAGCAACAATGTCATAAAATCTACATACTAATAGTACTCGTTACAAACCAAAGTGGCTGCTCACAAAGAGAATTAGTAGACACAATATATTCTCTGCTTGAATTAAAAAAGATCCAATGAATCACAGAATTTTACAATTAGAGAAAACTTTAAAGATTTAACTCAATCTTCTCACTTTACAAAGAAAACAAGAACCAAGAAAGTTAACACAATTCATCAGAAACTCATAGTTAGTACTGAGGGTTTT